CTTTCCTCCGTGGCACCCATGTTCCGTGCTTCCTCATGCAGCACAATCTCTCCACCATGCCGAGCGGCCGTATCTGCATGGCTCTCGTACGTAGTCCCATCACATGCATCTCCTGTTGGCCGTGGGGCCTGGTCACCCAGCACGCGCTCTGATGCGGAGCCTGGCCCGAGAGGGGGTAGGTGTAGCCCCAGATCCGCGTCGCCAATCAGTTCCGTGACCGGGGCCCAGCCTCCCGACAGCATCGCCGGCCCGTCCGAGATATCCTGTGCCGGTTCCTCCCCGCCTTGTGGTGCTGCTGCCGCAACCACAAGCCCAACGGGCCGCACCGGTTCCGCTGTGGCAGCAGGCGCCGCTTGGTCGGAAAGCAGCGGCCCCACCCCTACAATCACCTCCGCAGACTGGTCAGGCCGCAGAGGCCCTGCCTCAGCCAGACTGGGGTCCGCTCCCGTGTCCTTATCCACCTCTGCAGCCTTCTCCTTGGTCTGATCCGTCCGCGCCGTATCCTCCTCGGTCCTGGCATCCAATGGCCTGGTCGCCTCTGATCCTGGCCCCGCTGCCACCTGATCCTGCTGTGTCGGCGCATCCCATGCCGACCAGGTCTTTGTCGCCAGCACCAACTCTCCAGCTGTCTCCACCACTATGGGCAGCTTATCGCTCACCCGGATTGGCTCTTTTGAAATATCCGGGCCCACCACCGTCCCGTGGCTCTGCAATCCCGCCGCTGGCTTGACCGTCAACGGGGTCGGTCCGATTGGTGGGAGCCTCCAGGACGAGGGGCCCACCCTACCTTCCAGAACCGCCCGGTATGAACGGCCGTGCGTGTCGCCACCACCGCCGCCGTTGCTCCTCCGGCCTGCTCCATGGTTGTCTTGGATGCCCCGCGTCCATGGCTGTACTATCCACTCTCCTCCCTGAAACGAGCTGTTCGCGCTGTCCGGCAACCCACTCTGCTCGCTTCCTCCGTCCGATCCCGACACACGTCTCCACATCTCTGGCGGCGTGAAGTCCCTTACCCTGCCAATGTGGATGAACACAGGGTACTCCAGGAGCTGGCAGAATGACGCACACCTGGCCGCCGGGTCATGCACCATCTCCGGCGGTTCCGGCACCCACAGCTTCCGAAAAATCGACACATCCTCAGGATCCACACACTAGGCTCTCAACTTGAACATAGACAAATCTTCCCTACTGGCCGTTTCCGGCGCCAAACTCTCGATCAAACAAGCATTCCCGAGCAGCTCAGCCGCCGTCTCCTGAGCCCACGCATGAGCCGGAACACCCTCCATCATGAGGTCCACCTGGACCTGCATCAGCCTGGAAGCCGCCTGAGCCTGCCTGAGCCACGGCTTGATGAAGAACTAGACTCCCATGTGCTCAATCTCTGGTGCGGCCAGCGCTCTGTTCCTGAACTCGTGTGCCGCAAAAACGACCAAGAAATCTTCCGGATGAAACTTATGGACAGAAAAACGAAACCTTGGAATCCCCAGTTGCACGGAGACCGCGACCACAGCATCGTCGCAGGACACGGCCGGCCTAGCCCCGCCAACATACATCACCACCGCCAGCTGAAGCCGACGCTCGAGGTCATCCATCCCCTCCGAGCGCGGCAGCACGCAGATCTCAGACGGCGCCACAGACAGGGCCAAATCCGGCATCATTGGGCGGAAGCTGGGCGCAACTGGCGAGAGCTGCGCCGCCGGCGCGCTCTGCCTAGGCTCCGACAGCCTCCGCCGAATGGCCGGTGCCTGACCGGGCGACTCTGACCTGCGAGCGACCTTGGCGATCACCGCACGGCACAGCTCCTCCGCCGAGATGGGACTGCAAGGCTCCCTACATTGGGAAGAGACATGCCCAGCGTGGCCGCAGCGGATGCACAGAGGGGACGAGGATCCTCTGCCGTTCGGCAGGGTGCCGTTCGACCACTGACTGATGGACCCATCGGGGAACAGGCCCACATGGCAGCGCCACAACGGCAGGAGCCGCACGTCAGGGGAGCCGCTTCTGCACAGAGGCTCATTGGTGCAACCTGTCAAAGTCATTTTTTCTTTTGGAACTGAAAGTCCAAATTAGCTCACTGGATTTTTTATTTTTTTATTTGGAGAAGTGCAACAGAACGACACGTTAACAGAGCAATCAGCGAAAGGAGCACTCGACCTACAATCACACGCAACCACGCGGAAAGCGGGCCATACGCGCCAGCGGCACAGGCCAACAAGCCGCCTAACGGCGTTAGGGGGTGCCTAACGGCCACCAACCCCAATGCCGGAAAAAAATTATATGAGACCAGGTCTCATATAAATCAGGTGAGACCCGCCCTGATAAATGACATGTGGCATTCACAAATCACAAAGCATTTAATCTCTCCCCCCCTGATTTCAGGTGGGGGGTGGGGTGAATGCTTTGTGATTTGTGGATGACACGTGTCATCCATCAGAATGGGTTTCACCTGCTAATCCGTAAGACCTGGTCTAATAGAATTTTTTCCCCAATGCCCCACGCCCCACGCGAGGTAGACGGGCCAAACGGAGCCACCGTCCTTTCTCGAACCCTCCGCGCCCGACGGATCCTTCGCGTGGCGGAGACGAGCACGAGACGGGCGCGTCCAACAGACGGAACCGTCACGGCACGGGATGGATTCCTTCTCCACCAGGGCCCGTCACCAGCCGCCATAAATACCGCCCCCCTCCCAGCCTCCAATCCTCACAACAGCTCCCAGGAACGGAACCAACAAATCCCCAGCCAATCTCGTCTCCGATCGACTCCAGGCTCGTCGGATCCTCCTCCCCCACCGCCTCAAGGTACGGCGCTTGCTTCCCCTCTTCCCGTATCGTCTAGATCCGCGTTGATTAGATTGTTGGATGCGTAGTATCAGTTTCTGCTCCGATCTGATGCTGTGGGAACGATTCCTGTTGCCCGATCCGTTCGCGCATGGTAGGACGGCGAAGCTTTGGCGAATTCTTAGGGATTTTTGCGTGTAGATTGTAGGGGTAGATCTGTTCGTGTTCGAGGTCAAGTCCTTGACCCGTATAGTCTCATATGCATGATTTATGTACTGCTTCATCCGCTCCTCAGTGATAGATTCGTTTAACTCTTTATTATGCTTGAATTTTATGGTCGAATCCATTATTAGCCTTTTGTGTCGTAGTTCTTTCTCTCCCAGACGCGTATACTGCCTGATGTGTCGCTCGTGCTCATATGCTGTACCGAGATCGTCCTAATAGGCGTAGGATTGTAGATTGATTTCCCCTGAGAAAGCTAGGCTTCCCTTCCTTGGATGTTAAGCATGTAGATTGATTTCCCCTGAGAAAGTTAGGCTTCCCTTCCTTGGATGTTAAGCATGTCCGGCAGCTATGTGGAAAATATGCATCTGCGTGCACTTAACAGTCTGTTAGTTTATCTTTATATAATGAAGAAAATATGCTGCTGGCGTTTGTTTATTATCTACAATCTGTAGATGGCTTTTTCTCAGAAAAAGCCAGACTTCTTCCCTTAGATGATAAGCATGTCTGACAGCTCCGTGGAATCACAATCTTTAGTTTCTTGTGGTCATGAGCATGCACCTAAATATATATGGCGTGGTTGTATATAAGATTATTTATGTAGTAGTGTTTATCATCTCAGTTTGCTTCTTGAGGCTTACCATTCTATTTGGTATTCTTCTCTGCAGATGCAGATCTTCGTGAAGACCCTCACCGGCAAGACCATCACCAGGTTGAGAGCTCCGACACCATTGACAACGTCAAGGCCAAGATCCAGGACAAGGAGGGAATTCCCCCGGACCAGCAGCGCCTGATCTTTGCTGGCAAGCAGCTGGAGGATGGCCGTACCCTCGCCGACTACAACATCCAGAAGGAGTCCACCCTCCATCTTGTCCTGCGTCTGCGCGGTGGCATGCAGATCTTCGTGAAGACTCTCACCGGCAAGACCATCACCCTTGAGG